AGAATCACTTGAACCCAGGAGGCAGAGGTTGCAGTAAGCTGAGATCGTGCCATGGCACTCCAGCCTAGGGGACAAGAGCAAGACTTTGTCTCAAAAAAAAGACAAAAAAAACCCCACAAAAAAACAGGATGGGTGTGGTGGCTCACGCCTGTAATCCAAGCACTTTGGAGGCCAAGGCAGACGGATCACCTGAGGTCGGGAGTTCAAGACCAGCCTGACCAACATGGTGGAAACCCCGTCTTAAAAACAAACAAACAAAAACAACAAAAAAACTTGCAAGGCCGGGCACGGTGGCTCACGCCTATAATCCCAGCACTTTGGGAGGCCGAGGTGGGCGGATCACGAGGTCAAGAGATCGAGACCATCCTGGTCAACATGCTGAAACCCCGTCTCTACTAAAAATACAAAAATTAGCTGGGCATGGTGGCGTGCGCCTGTAGTCTCAGCTATTCAGGAGGCTGAGGCAGGAGAATTGCTTGAACCCAGAAGGCGGAGGTTGTGGTGAGTGGAGATCGTGCTATTGCACTCCAGCCTGGGTAACAAGAGCAAAACTCCGTCTCAAAAAAAACAAAACAAAACAAAACAAAAAAAAAAACATGCTAAAGAATTGGAGACATTTCGATAATTAACATTTTCTTTCCTTTTTTTTTTTAGATGGAGTTTCACTGTTGTTACCCAGACTGGGGTGCAATGGCAATATCTCGGCTCACCGCAACCTCCACCTCCTGGGTTCAAGCAATTCTCCTGCCTCAGCCTCCCGAGTAGCTGAAACTACAGGCACGCACCACCATGCCCAGCTAATTTTTGTATTTTTAGTAGAGATGGGGTTTCACCTCGTTGACCAGGATGGTCTCGATCTCTTAACCTTATGATCCACCCGCCTCTGCCTCCCAAAGTGCTGGGATTATAGGTGTGAGCCACTGCACCCGGCCACGATAATTAACATTTCATAGTTAAAGCTTTTAGTCTTGATTTAAAAAATGCATTGGCAATTTGGAAATTTTTCTTTTTAATATAGCTAAACATGAAGCTGGGTTTAGTGTGGAGCCAAATTTCACATACATGCTTGCATTACTTCCCACTGTTGTAACCCAGCGAGTTGTAAGGAAAGCGCCACCCTCTGAGATTGAATCAGGAGTCCTTTATTGCCGGTGACTGAGAGAAGGTGAACGCTCCAAATTCTCAATCCTGATGAAGGGGGTATGATTTATACCTATTCTAGGAGAGAAGGGAGGGGGAGGCTAGCTGAAGTGGAATTTTGCAGAAGTAGAACAAGCAAGTTAGATAAGGAAGCTGGTAACCAGGAGGCAGGAGGTTCCCAGGATTGCTGGTTACCAAAGAGGGTATACACAAGCGGTTCCCATGATTGCCGGTTAGCAAGGGGGGTATTCACAGTAGCCAGGGGACTTGGCAAGCAGGATGTGGTTACAATGGTTACAAGGTACTGGGTACATCGTGACACAACTGTGCACCCCAAGGAGAAATGGCGGGGAGGGAGAGGCTAAGATGGAGTTTGTCAGGCTTACATCTAAGATGGAGTCTGTTAGGCTATCACACACACTATGTTTACTGTTTTGCCTGGATAGTGCTAGAGTACTTATCTATTGGTCATGTGCCTAAAGCAGATTTCTTGATTACACAGAATGTAAAATGATATTGGTGAACTTAAGGATACTGAATTATGTATCAGAAATAAAATATTCATTATGTGGGTTTTTTGGGGCCCTAGGTAACACTGTAGCCTCCATTGTAGGGTAAATTGAGTAGGAAAATTTAGGGTGGGTTTTCCGTTTGTTTTTGCTTCTAGATTTTTTTTTTGAGACGGAGTTTTGCTGTTGTTACCCAGACTAAAGGGCAATGGCGTGATCCCGGCTCACCGCAACTTCCGCCTCCTGGGTTCAAGCAATTCTCCTGCCTCAGCCTCCCGAGTAGCTGGGACTAGAGGCTCACACCACCATGCCCAGCTAATTTTTGTATTTTTAGTAGAGACGGGGTTTCGGCATGTTGACCAGGATGGTCTCGATCTCTTGACCTCGTGATCTACCCGCCTCGGCCTCCCAAAGTGCTGGGATCATAGGCGTGAGCCACCATGCCCGGCCCTGCTTCTAGTTTTAATTCATTTGTTGTTTATTCTCCTCTAGCTTTGCTTGCGTATCCATATATATAAAATCATCATGTTTTTTAGTACCTAGTGGCAGGCTTTTATTTGGTTCTGCGAATAGTTATTTTGTTTTCTATGCATTTCTAGCAAGTCATCATTGATTCCATTTATCTGGAATTTCTAAGCTATCTTTGTTGGGCTGCAGGAATTAATGGAGCACACTAGTGTAGGGCTGTTAAGCCTCCACAGGGTCGTGGGGTGTCCCTTATGTTGTGCTAAGGTGCAGGATCTGAGAAGAGACAGGACACTGAAGAACTGAAGAGCATCTGGACTTGCGGGGGGGGGCACACCACCTGTGAGTGGAGATTGGTGAGGGCCCCAAATGCCCAGAAGCACCTGTATTTATTAGGTACAAGCAGAGAGGATGGTCGTGAGTTAGGTCATCATCTATAGGCTTAGTAATAGGGCATACATAATTACGTGAGTCACAAGCTAGGGGGCCACCCCATTATGTCACCCGGGCAGAGAGGTGGGCCGTGCATAGTAGGGGGCTGTGCCGTGCGTAGTAGTAGAGGGTTGTGTACAGAAAAGGGGTCCACCCCCATTAGGTCACCGAGGCAAGGAGATGGGCTGTGTGTAACAGGTGTTGTGCGCCAACGCTTCTTATCTGGGGGCTGGAGACTTCAAAGGATTGCGAGCTGACAGACTTGTGCTCTTCTCTTTTTTATTTTATTTTTCTTTTGTCTTTGTGCTCTTCTCTTAAGATATTTATGGGAGGATGATTTGAGCTAGCACAAAAGTGAGAAAAGACTGACAGGGTGTACAGCCACTGTGACTGGTCACACTAGAGGGGTTCTTCTCTCTCAGTTATTTCCAGGATCTCAGGCCTGAGGCCTACTTTCCACAAGAACTGGATGCAAGGTACTACAACTGCTTTATCAGGAGGAGAGGCTCTTGCTCCAAGCCTGCCATACAGCGTATGCCCTTTCAGGTAGGGACGCCACCACCTGGGTCTTTGGTTCTTGTCCTGGTCTGGCTGTTTTCCCCTGTACTGCTTCTGTTCTGTGACTGCTCTAGGCATTCCTTCTACTCCAAACTTCTATATGGTAATATGGAAGGATTATATAAATCAGCACTAAATGTGTCAGTATAGCTCCGACAACAATACCTATATGATTATACAGAAAGATTATATGTGACTGGGCCAGGTGCGGTGGTTCACGCCTATAATCCCAGTACTTTGGGAGGCTGAGGCGGGTGGATCACGAGGTCAAGAGATTGAGACCATCCTGGTCAACATGCTGAAACCCCGTCTCTACTAAAAATAAAAAAATTAGCTGGGCATGGTGGTGCGCACCTGTAGTCCCAGCTACTCAGGAGGCTGAGGCAGGAGAATTGCTTGAACCCAGGGGGCGGAGGTTGCAGTGAGCTGAGATCGTGCCATTGCCCTCCAGCCTGGGTAACAAGACCGAAACTCCATCTCAAAAAAAAGAAAAAAGAAAGATTATATGGGACTAAGTATGATTATATATATAAGCTAGATGTAGTAAGCAGTGAGTTATGCTTCAGGCACTAACCGTGTCTGGGGTCTGCACAGTTCTCCTTCCTTGGTGCCCCTGGGGGGTGTTACCCACACACCAGCTTTTTTTTTTTTCCATTCATAAAACTTTTATTCCACTTACATGAATTTAATACACATGTTCTTTTTCTTTTTTTTTGAGATGGAGTTTCACTCTTGTTACCCAGGCTGGAGTGCAATGGTGTGATCTCAGCTCACCGCAACCTCTGCCTCCTGGGTTCAGGCAATTCTCCTGCCTCAGCCTGCTGAGTAGCTGGGATTACAGGCACGCACCACCATGCCCAGCTAATTTTTTTGTATTTTTAGTAGAGATGGGGGTTTCACCATGTTGACCAGGATGGTCTTGATCTCTTGACCTCATGATCCACCCTCTTCGGCCTCCCAAAGTGCTGGGATTACAGGCGTGAGCCATGGCGCCCGGCCTACATGTTCTTAACAATTATGCTTGGATTGTTCATGAAAATTTCATAAGACATTAAACAAAGCTAGCCATCATCTCAAGTTATTTCCCTGTTAACTATTTTTACAGCACATGCATGTTAGGCAAGTATCAAAAAAAAAAAATCACGAAAGCAAAAAACCTAAAAAAATGTTAAATACATGGGTTTTTGTTTTACTGCTGTGCTTGATATACACAAAGTAATGAATACCAAGCCATTCATTTTTACTGCATCTTTACTTTTACATTTGTTCTTAGGTTGCCTAAAACATTTAAATACAAATAAAATGATTGTAGCAAAAATAATGAAAGCTAACAGCAGGTAACTTTACAAATAATGGAATGTGAACCGTTTCCGCCCTCATCCAGAGTAAAATGGGTCACAACTTTGTCTAAAGGAACACTTCTGCAGCTGTAGCCAAAGCTGTGAATATTGAGATTGAGTGTTCCACAGATAGACATGGTTTAACATGTGGTATCCATGGGATATTTGTTTCTACTACAGCCTTATTAAGTGCTCCAAACCTTAAAGTACCCACAATTACTACACCTGCGACTGGAACCAATGATCCCTTTTATCCCCCACCAGGACAAACCAATATGTAGGCAGTTTTCTTTTAGACATGGAAGCAGTTTTAACACTGACCCTTGTGAAGCCACAATGTACCAAAAGTACTATGCCAAACATTTATAACTTGTATAAAAATTCCACATCCTCATATTGGCCACCTCAAGATGAGAACAGATTAATTCCCTAAATGTTAACTGGCTCTAGTCCCCTAATATTAAACATAAAAACCACATGGGAAATACAGAAATTCAAATAGAAGTAACATAAACCTGTCATAAATCGTAAACAAAAAACTATTTGTGGGACACCGTGGATGACAAATGGTCTACTGTGTAAATTTTAGAATGAGGCAGACAAAAGTTGGAAGGCCGGTTAATTTTCCCCTCCTTCTCCTGCTTCAGCTTCATCTCCTTGGGTATCCAATGTCCACAATGTTAGGTTGTCTCTCAGTAATTGCATTATTATTGTGCTGTCTTTGTATGACTCTTCACTTAATGTATCAAGTTCAGCAATAGCTTCATCAAAAGCTGTCTTTGCAAGAGAGCAGGCTTTCTCTGGGGAGTTCAGAATCTCATAATAGAACACAGAGAAGTTAAGGGCCAGACCCAGTCTAATAGGATGTGTTGGCTGCATTTCCTTTTTGTTGATTTCAAAGCTTCTTGGTATGCTTGTTGTGACTGATCCACAATCCCTTTCTTGTCACCACCAGCGGCAACCTCAGCCAAATAAGGGTAGTAATCTCCTTTCATTTTCAAATAGAAGACTTCGCTCTCTGCTTGTGAAGCATTGGGATCAAGAACTTTTCCAAGAGAGACAGTACATCATTGCAGATATCTCTTAGCTCCATCTCAATTTTCTCTCTCTGTATTCTCGAGCCATCTGCTGTTTTTTCTCAGCACCTTCTGTCTTTTGTTCGATACTTGAGATGACCCTCCAAGATGACCTACGGGCTCCTACAATGTTTTTATAACAACTGAGAGAAGATTCCTCTCCTCATTAGTTAATTCAGCTCCTTGCTCAGTTACGGACTTCATGCAGGCTGCCATGTTATCATATCACTCAGCCTGCTCGGCCAGTTTGGCTTTCTGAACCAGCTCATTTTTATCCATGGCTGAATGTTCTGTGTCTGGAGTGGGTGGTGGCGGCGGACAGACAGGGTCTCAGCAGTTTTTGGGCGGTGGCGGCAGCAGCCCACACCAGCTTTTTATCCTTAACCTAACTTTTTGGATTTTAGACTTCCTGATACTTTAAGTGTGTTAAGTATACTCTGATATATAGAATTTGAGTTACAATTCTCTCTTTCTACCTAATATCTCTGAAATTTGTAAACTATTTGTAAAAATTCTTAATTCTTGGCAATGTGTTTATTTGCATACAGTTGAGTAGGGTCACTAGGACCATTTAGGGAGAAAGAACCCAGAAACCTGGCAAGCCAGCAAAAGGGTAAGAATTTCCTTTTTTTCTTCTTTCTTTTTTTAATTTTTTTTTGAGATGGAGACTCACTCTGTTGCTCAGGCTGGAGTGCAGTGGCATGATCTCAGCTTACTGCAACCTCTGTCTCCCAGGTTCAAGTGATTCTCCTGCCTCAGCCTCCCGAGGAGCTGGGACTGCAGGTGGGCACCAGTGAATCCAGCTAATTTTTGTATTTTTAGTAGAGATGAGGTTTCGCCGTGTTGGCCAGGATGTTCTGGATCTTTTGACCTGTGATCTGCCCACCTTGGCCTCCCAAAGTGCTGGGATTACAGGCATGAGCCACCGCACCCAGTCATTTTTATTTATTTATTTTTATTTTTTGAAACAGAGTCTCGCTTTGTCACTGAGGCTGATGTGCAGTGGCCCACTGCAACCTCCTTGTCCTGGGTTCAAGCAATTCTCCTGACTCAGCCTCTCAAGTAGCTGGGATTTCAGGCACCCACCACAACACCCGGCTAATTTTTTGTATTTTAGTAGTAGCCACCATGCCCAACCTCATGTGTTAAATTTTAAATTAATTGGTTTAAAAATAATAAGAGCACCGGGTGCGGTGGCTTAAGCCTGTAATCCCAGCACTTTGGGAGGCTGAGGCGGGTGGATCACGAGGTCAAGAGATCAAGACCATCCTGGTCAACATGGTGAAACCCCGTCTCTACTAAAAATACAAAAAATTAGCTAGGTATGGTGGTGTGTGCCTATAATCCCAGCTACTCAGTATGCTGAGGTAGGAGAATTGCCTGAACCCAGGAGGCGGAGGTTGCGGTGAGCCAAGATCATGCCATTGCACTCCAGCCTGGGTAACAAGAATGAAACTCCGTCTCAAAAAGAAATAAAAATAAAAAAGTAAAAAAATAAAAATAATAAGAGCTTAAATAAAATGTTTTGTCAGCAAAGTGAAAAACATAATGCCTTTTATTTAGTTCATGTTGTGCTATAGCTGGCCTAGAGTTAGAGCCTGAACAACACCATTTTATGCAAGACAAAGCTGTTTTTCAGAAATAAGTTGTAACGGCTGCCCCATTCTCCTCACAATAACTGCTGGCCTTGGCTTCTAAAAATAAAACTGCTAGCTTGCTCTGCAAAATGCCTACTATGTAAAGCTGCTTACCTTTTCTTATCAGTAACTGCCCAAATTGCTGGCCTTTGCTTACCGGTAATGACCAGAATAAGCAGCCCAAGCTAATTCCATCCTGGCCCCTGCGACTTGTAATAAGTAACTAAGATCTGTGGATTCCACCACTGCCCAGACGATGTGTAAACTAAGGCTTATCTTGACTTCTGTAAACCACCTAGGTAACAATCGAAGTGACAGCAAGTCCCCTAGCCCTTGGAATGTCCGGAGACCTGCACCCTCCTCTCTGCCCGGGAGGTGATTTACAGAATCCCCTGGCTCTCAGAATGTCTGAATCCCTTCACCCCGACCCCTGCCCCACACCCGCACCCCGGAGGTGGTTTACGGACATAAAAGGGTCTTGTCACCCTCCTTTCGGGGCCACAGGTTAGAGAGACGTGAGTCCTTCGTGGTCGTCGGCAATAAAGACCCTGCAATTTGGCATACTTTGGTCTTGGTGCTAATTTTATACTCAGTCCAAATACTTCAATGTGACTTGGGTAATCTCTGGGAAATAAAGATGGCTTTAAAGATTATTGATAAATTCCATTTTTTTTTTTTTTTGAGTCAGAGTTTCCCTCTTGTTACCCAGGCTGGAATCTCGGCTCACCGCAACCTCTGCCTCCTGGGTTCAAGCAATTCTCCTGCCTCAGCCTCCCGAGTAGCTGGGACTAGAGGTGCTCACCACCATGGACAGCTAATTTTTGTATTTTTAGCAGAGACGGTGTTTCACCTTGTTGACCAGGATGGTCTCAATCTCTTGACCTCGTGATCCACCTGCCTCGGCCTCCCAAAGTGCTGGGATTATAGGCCTGAGCCACTGCGGCCAGCTGAAATGTTTTCAAAATGTAAACATGCGGTCAAAATTATGTTCAAATATTAGGTTTGCTAAATGCTTTAAGGTCATAAACTGCTTCTTTGCCTTTTCAAAATTGTTTACCTTGATGGCTTTCCAGCTCAGTAAGACCTGAGCCAAGTAGAGTTAGCCACACCTCTAGCTATGCTGGAAATAGTCAAACAGTATCAGAACATAACTTACCAGGTTTTACATTAAAGTCAAAATTGCTGAAATTTATACTCCAGCTGTGACAGGAAATATCCTCTCTATAGGGCATATACCCAGCAAATGACTTTGTAACTTTACTTCATCCTCTTCATTTACCTAGGGCATACCCCAAGCAGAGGGTATTTAGACTCCCAAAAATTCTGTAATGGTGCCTTTGAGCCCCTATGCTCAGGGCTCCCACACTGTGGAGCAAACTTTCACTTTCAATAAATCCCTTCATTCCTTCCTTGCTTTGTTTGTGTGTTTTGTCCAATTCTTCCTTCAAGAAGCCAAGAACTGAACACCCTCTACAGGTTAACAAAAGCTTTTTTTTTTTTTTTTTTGAGACGGAGTTTTTTGCTCTTGTTACCCAGGCTGGAGTGCAATGGCGAGATCTCAGCTCACTGCAAACTCCGCCTCCTGGGTTCAGGCAATTCTCCTGCCTCAGCCTCCTGAGTAGCTAGGATTACAGGCGTGCGCCACCATGCCCAGCTAATTTTTTGTATTTTTAGAAGAGATGGGGTTTCACCATGTTGACCAGGATGGTCTGGATCCCTTGACCTCGTGATCCACCCTCCTCAGCCTACCAAAGTACTGGGATTACAGGCTTGAGCCACTGCGCCCCGTCTATCTTTTTTTTTGAGATGGAGTTTCACTTTTGTTGCCCAGGCTGGAGTACAATGGTATGATCTCCGCTCACCACAACCTCTGTCTCCTGGGTTCAAGCGATTCTCCTGCTTCAGCCTCCTGTGTAGCTGGGATTACAGGCATGTGTCACCATGCCTGGCTAATTTTGTATTTTTAGTTGAGACGAGGTTTCTTCATGTTGGTGAGACTGGTGTTGAACTCCCAACCTCAGGTGATCCGCCTTCCTTGGCCTCCCAAAGTGCTGGGATTACAGGGGTGAGCCCCCGGGCCAGGCCAACAAAAGCATGTTGATTGGACTTGCAGTGAGAAAACTCAGTTTTGACTCCCAGGTTGGCCACTCATCAGCTGTTTGAAAACTGTGTTGTCTATTCAACCTTTCAGTTCTTCAGTATCCCAATGAGTAAACTGGGAATGGTACCTACAGCACAGGATTTTTTTCTTCTTGTAGTAAGTGGATTAAATAAAAGAATACATATGAAAGAAAAGCATTTGGCAAAGTACTTAAAAATAATTTTAACATCTGAATCCAATCCACTTATCAAAGACTTGCCTTGTGCCAAGCATTGTGATGGGTTTTACATACATCATCGTATTTAATCCTGACCTTAACCGTGTGAGATAAAGCATTCTCATTCCATTTTACTGATGAGGAAGTCGAGCTTCAGGGACATCAAGAATCTTGCTCAAGGTTCTCCAGCAGCTGGCTGAGCAGCGTTCTAATTCAGGATTCAAACTCCAAGGCTCAGGTTCTTGAGAACTTTCCTTTTCTAAGGTATTATTTTCTCTTAAATTAGCTAAAGTGTGCTAACTTGTGGAGTTTCTTTCTTGGAGAAAGTTAGAAGGGTCTGTCAGGGTTTCTTTCTTGGAGCAGGTTATAGGGTCTTCCCGGGTACTTTTTAGGTAACAAAGCTAAGTAGCTTTTTGAGTAGATACTTGCCAATATTTTGGATTGGTTCTGTATTTGATTTATTTAGCGACTCTAGGTGTTGAAACAGAGAGGGCTGTTAGGTGCTATTGCCAGATTTTTAGCGGCAAAGTCTTTGAAAAATATATTTTAACGTATGAATTCTTTAAAACATATATATGTATGTAGAAATAAATAATGGTTTTTTTTTTGTTTGTTTTGAGACGGAGTTTCGCTCTTGTTACCCAGGCTGGAGTGCAATGGCGCGATCTCGGCTTACCGCAACCTCCGCCTCCTGGGTTCAGGCAATTCTCCCGCCTCAGCCTCCTGAGTAGCTGGGATTACAGGCATGCACCACCATGCCCAGCTAATTTTTTGTATTTTTAGTAGAGACGGGGTTTCACCATGTTGACCAGGATGGTCTCGATCTCTTGACCTCATGATCCACCCGCCTCGGCCTCCCAAAGTGCTCGGATTACAGGCGTGAGCCACCGTGCCTGGCCCAATAATGAATTTATGTATAGTATTCTCCAACTCCACAGAGCTGGTCCTGAGGGAATGTGCTGTCAAGCCCTGAGGTACGCGGCTGGGCTGTGGCAGGTAGGTTTGGGGGACTGGAAAGGGGACGGTTGGCCCCTGGGCTCAGTGGCGGGGGTCGGGTGGGGCTGGGAGGCCGGGAGGCCTTCCGGGGGGTGGGGTCTGCGGCGGTCCGGCCCGTGCATGCGCATGGCCTCGCCCGGCGTTTCAAAAGCCCCGCGAGAGTGGTTGGAAGGTTCAGACCGCTGCCGCTCCTGTCGGGATCCGGGCTCTGCCGGACGTGGTCTCTGTACTCGACGCCTCGCCGGCGGGGATCACCATGGTTCATTTCTTGCACCCAGGGCACGCGCCCCGGAACATCGTCCCCCCCGATGCTCAGAAGGATGCCCTGGGCTGCTGCGTGGTACAGGTGAGCCCCGGGGTGCGGGCAGCGACGCGAAC